TCATAAATTCTTAGCTGCAAGGCATCAGAAGGCTAGCAGCCCCAGTTACAGGAATTGCAGATGAGCACATGCACTCATGCACTGTAAGCAGACACTGCTGTTGTTCATGGCTTGTTGATTATCACCAATTAGCTAGACACAAAAGTCATGCAGAGTATTCTTAATTTTGGATCAGAATATAACAAGCTACATAGCTTCCCTTACACTGCCTTAATTCACCTCTCTACAATACCACTGTTCTCCTGCCTTAGAGCTGTTGTATTAATACACCATAGATCAAGATCATGCTCAACCCTGTGAGATTTGGATAGAGCTGTCCTACTAATATTGATATTCATGGACCCAAAATATACAAGTCCTCTGCATAGCTCTGTCAGCCAGAACCCTTCCACCTCTATCTATGCTTTTCCCAAGTCTATTTCAAAGAATCAGTAACAAAAGGTTGCTTTATTTTACTACAGAAACGACTTCTCAAAATCACCTTAGTATTGCAGGTTTATATTTGAGGTATGGTCTTGACACTGGCCAAAGATCAAGCTTTTCTACAGTTACTAATTAGAAGCTCTCTTTGGCTCCTCTGCTATAGTCCACTGTAACACAAAGACTGGCCCAATTGCTTCTGACCCAGCTGACAGCAATCCTGCAAACCAGTGCTAGTAAAACTGAGTACCCATTACCTGACTACATTCTTTGCAGAAAACATGGAAAGGATTTGCATATATGCAGCAGTCATATCCTGACCATGTGAAGTAGGCAAAACAAAGTGAGCAGCCCTGAAATGCACACAAAGCTTCCAGAGCAGCAGATATTGGTGGGGAGAGGGGGAACAGTGGCAGGAAGAAAATGCTTTTATATAAGTGGACACAAAAGACAGCCTCTCCTCTGGTGAATCTTGTCTATACTTTCAGGATTAGCCCATCCAGGTAAATATTCAGTGGTTTCAGAAATTGCAAATGCAGAGATAGCGGATAAAAATGTTAAGGTAGGAAAGCAATTTAATTAGCATACATAATCCATTTTATTCCCCTTTATCTTCTCATTCTAGATGCTTCTCTCAAATTTATTCATGGTGTTAATTTCCCTGTCCAAGGACCTATTAGAATAATCATTTCATCCTACTGGAAAATCTTGTCCTCTCTTGCCTTAGAAATCCAGTTGCCTGTAGGCAGGATTTACATAGACACGACTTTTAAGATGGGTTCTTGTCCACTCTGAGTTTCCAAGGAATTCTTTTTTCTGATGTTAGCTTGTTTAAAATACCTCTGGAACTTCAAAAGTATCTGTTCTCCGCATTCATTGGTGATTTCCACAGTAGGTGTGTTTCCTTGATTGTGCATTTCTGAGGACTCATCTCAAAACGCAATAGCACTTTCTCAAGGAGTATGTTAACTTAGTCTAACAAAAAGGATTGTATTGATTTGGTCGTCAAACAAAAATTCAAACTCAGACATTCCTAGAAATAAGGCAGCATTGTCCTGTCACTTTCTGTCTAAAGGAAAAACGTATCATGTTTTCATCATGATGCTCTCCTAGGTGAAGTCCTCCTAGGAAGGAGAGCATCATGTGCCAGTTTATGCCTCAATCTTTCTAAAAAGATACCTGAGGAACTGACAAAAAATACCAAAGGGGCTGACTGCTTTCAGTTGCATTATCCTATTCTAAGAGTTTAAACTCCACTGGGAAGGGCATCAGATTTGTATGTAGTATTTCTAATAACACATGTAAGGCTGAAAGAAAAACAGAAATGATGAGATACTCCAAATTCCTGTTGCTTTTCCCTTACTCATTGTGATTCATGCAGGCTGCACAGCTTGGATTCCCTTTGTGAGACTATCACTAACTTTCAGAATAACCTTCAGTAAATCACCACATTTTTCCCTAATAATGAAATGGTGATAGTAATATCCTTTAAAGAAGAAAACGCTCTATGTCTGATCATTATCATCTAATTACTTTAAAACTTTGTCATTTTCCTTTTCAGAAAAATACATATTATTAAAAAATAATAATAATCTACAATGATCATTCTGGCCTTCTTTTAAGGACTTTTCCCAGCAAGTAGATGACACTGACCCACTGGTTTTACTGTGTGGAAAAAGCATTTTATGTTTCCAAGTCATCATGAAGTGGCGGGGGAGGAGTCTGATGAAAGCTCTTAATTTCAGAAGTCCTTAGATGAAGTCATTTACTTTTATTTAACCATTTACTAGGATACAATAGCATTTCTACTAGACTATAGGATAAGAATACAGGGTTTTCAACTTTGTCTCTCATTTTATGAGATGAAATTATTTATGTGGGAAGCTGCTTATCTGTAGGCGCAAGATTATGTTTTTTCTGAGTGGAAAAGTACCCAAATCTTCCTATAAAATAATGTCTAGAGTAGGTTTTTCATGACAAAAAAGAAAAACAAAATTGAAGATGTTAGATTTTCACATTAATACGTATGCAGAACAATCAGATTTCAAGATGAAATTCAAGTGAAATGTTTTTCTCTTAATTTTTTCATCAAATTTAAACTTCAGAAACGTTAAAATTATAACTTGGTATTCTGGATCACTTATCAATGGCAGCATTTTTCTAAAAATTTATTTATTTATAATTATTTATTGTACTTAAAATTAAATATAATGATTATATTAATTTTAACATCTCACATTTCTGGTTACTTTAAAAGAAAAATGCAATTTCATAGTCCAACTTTCAATTTATAGTTGTCTCATATCCTCAGAAGAGAGAGACCATTTGTACTATCCTGTATCACTTTTTCAGATGATAAAGTTAGCCAAGTGTTTGGATAATTACATACAAGAGTTTGAGGATTGCTCCAGAAAACACTAAATTGCTACAGGCACAAAATGAACATAGAAGTAGCCACAAATGAGGTTTTTTTTCCTTTTTCATGGGAACTGACCAATGTCCAAATCAATCAGATAAACCAGATAAATTATGATAATCATAATTAGGGACTTATGTGTGCACGAATGTGACTTTAGATTATTTATTTCAGTAGATCATACAGATCATTACTTTGAAATCAAGCCAAGCTGAAACCTATATCTCAAAATAGTATTAACCTTTATATGCAAGTCTTACTTCACTCTATTGATTTCCATTTCTCTTTGTTTCCTTCTCATGTACTTCACCCTAAATATCATCAAAAGCAACAAAATAAAGCAGCTGAATGAAGGATATGTTCAAGACAAATCTATTTACTCTCATTGTCAGAGATCATGTAAGGGGAGTAATTACTAGATATTTTATTCTTACCCTTCTAATCCCAGCAATCCTAAAATACCCAAAGCTTAAAAAAAAAAAAATATTTTTTTTAACTGAAAAGTAGTTGTGAACAACTTTGTTTTTAGCCTTTATTTTGCTATCTCGTCTGAAAGGAGTAGAATTAAAAAGTCATTTGAAAATGTTGCTGATAAAACCAAATTATATCTCTTTCAGGAATATGGTCAGTGCTTTTACAAGTTGTTAACCTCCTACTGCATTTTTTCAATTTGATACGCAATTATTATTTACAAGCAGTATGAATTCATTAGTTTTATGACACTGGTAGTTACTATGCATGAGTTGCTTCTTGTCCAACAGGATTGAAATAAAAATGAGATGTTGAATCTCTGAAGACTACCCTAAAAGGAACATTTACAAGTAAAGAGCATAACTAGATATTTGGTAAATCGACACTACTATACACTGAACCATGGTTTGCCTATCTTGAAGAAAGCCTTAGCATAACTTGGAAGAAAGGATGACTCTGCTCTTTTATCACCAGAGTCACTCTAGAAGAGCTGTAGGTGATGTTTTCTCGGAATAGGTACAGGCTGCAGACTCATAGACATCAGAAATCCTTTCCAAATTTCTTGCATGGCTTCTAACATAATTATTTTTAGTAGAGCAAAATGTTTCTTGGAGCTGTATCAGCTTTGAAATTTTCTAATGAGTGTTTTTTCTTGAAGAAAGGGAAAAGAGAGAGACCAGCATTTAAAGAATGTAAAGCTTGTACAAATACAGAAATCAGGAAAGTTCACAAAACATGACAGATGAAACATAAGGCAGACACTAAGAGGATGAAAAACAGAATATGAAAAACTTCTTAAGAAGAATGCTCAAGCTAATAGGAATATTTAAAATACATATATATGGAAATAAATCAGCAAGAGAATTTGTGGTACTACACAATGACACAGGTGTAAAGGATTTCATGTGGCCATGGCAGAGATGCTTAGCAAATTCCTGCACATTTGGGCAGGGCAGCAAGTGCATAGTAACTGAACAAGTTTATCCTGGGACTGGCAATTGAAAGGGATGAAAACCAACCGAAGGAATATTATGCTATGTATCCTGATTATATCAAATGATATTCTAGGGATGGTGTTGCTAATCTTACAACTAAAGCTTCAGTTACACACAAGCAGTATTTAGCAGTATTAAGACACAGTGGAGGCATACTGAGTCATAAAAGCAGAAGGTGTGCTGGCTCGTTATCATGCACCAGCTGGCCTGTCTCTACAGCAGTCACCATCTTCCAAGCCGCCAGCCACATAATGCAGCAATGCAAGGAAAGTCAAGTCCCATGTACTGTCCTCTGCGGATCTGGGAGAAGGTCCACACTCTCAATGCTGGAGCATGGAACACTTAACAGTGCAAAGCAGGCTTCACACACACAAATTCTTTGCCTAGGTTCTATAGGCTTTTCTCTTCCCTCCCATCAGCAGTCAGATCTGCCATCAGGTGTCCTCCAGAGCCTTAAAATATCCTCAGCCAAACTTTTACCACTGACTATGCTTATCAGAGTGAAATCCAGTCTAAGCATCTTGTGAGCTACTCATCAAGGTAGTTCCTTTTTCATCTCACAGTGATTTTATGTAGCCATTAGTGCCCAACAAACCATATCCATCTGCTGTCATTTTCAACCAATCACCATTAAAGGTCAACAGTTAATTTCCTTTTCTCTTGTAGCAAAACGTTACTGCTCCTTTCAATTCTCGTACCTTCATAATAAAGCTGCATTTTCCACAATTATCCTTTTCAGCAGGCATCAAGGGATGCTAAGTAGGCTCCTCCACACATATCTTGAGTACTGTGGACAGTCCTGGTCACTGCATTTCTGGAAAAATGTAATAGGAGTTAGAAAGGTACAGAGAAGAGATAATTGCTTTACAGGGAGAGGTGAAAAAGACTAGGATTCTTCCATATGGAGAGGAAAATAAGAGGTTATGTTTGAGGATCTGCAGAATCACAAGACTGAATGAGTGCAGAAAATAAATTTTTATTCAATAAATCCAAAACAGAACCAGCCAACACTCACTGAATCCATTCAATAGTCAAAATAGTTTAAAGAAATATGGCTAGAAGCAGACTTCTTAAATTTTTTTGCCTCAGGAGGCAGCAGTTCAAAACCAGGATGAAAAAAAATGTAGCAGGTCTATAACCAGGTACTATAGCAAAGAAAAAAATTTCACACTTCAAGATCCCAAATCTGATAACTACAGATTTATATTTTCTTCAAGAACTTCTGAATTTGCACAAGTTCTTATCATTCTTATTCTTTTATATAGGATTTTTATAGGGTTTTCAAAATCTGGCTGAGGAAAGCCACATGTAGCTTGGTCTGGCCTTGTAGCTGAGGTTGCTTAAAGTAGGAAATTGGATTTGAGAGCTCATGAGATCACCTTCAGTCTGGAATACGAGCTTATGGCTGTAGTAAGCCTAAGAAATCAAGAGAAATAGCATAGATAGCATTCAGTAATTTCTTCAACAGAAAGAACACACCATAGGAAAAAGAACAGCTATTTTGAAAGGCAGAAAATGATAGTTCTGAGGTTATGTTTAACAAATATTTCAGTTAGTGAAACATATTTTGTACAAGTTATACTCCATACACTTCTACTATTACAGCTAAAAGGGGTAGAGGAAAGTCTGTAACTTTATCCAGCAAGAATTTCAAGTGCCTGCCTAAGGGGCAGATCAGCCCAGCCCACAGAACGGTATTATTCTTCATGTGCAAGGAGAGCAGTTGAGATTTCTTGCTTAACAATAGTTCTATTATTAAAGCTCCAAAATGAGAAACCTGTTTGTCTGTGGGAAGGGGAATACAAACTGAGAAGTAAGTTTGCCTTTGAAATAAAACTCTCTTTTGCAACTTGGTTAAGCAGGATTTGTGAAGGGTTACAGTGTTCCTGCAAATGGATAAAATAATTATACTTTGCCTCACATTTATCTTGATATTGAAAGGGAGAGTTAAAACAGCATTTCTTATTTTGTTTATTTGTCACAAATATTGCCAAGTAAAATATAAAGTCCCTATACATTATTTAACTTATGGCCAATCAGTGTTTCTCATTATAATTGACATGGAAAATCATACGGTGACTGTTAAGTTAAAATTGAATTACAATACAAATGTAACCAACATTGCAAAGGCCATTATAATAATTTCTCATGTCAGTTATTACAAGTTTTATTAAAAAATCTGTAGGGAAGACAGGTTGATTTTGTCTATCTTAGAACTGAAATCTAGTCAAAGGACATAAATCCCAGAGAAAAAAATAGTATCTTAAGGAGGCTATGAGATGAACACTAATTTTGTGTTTTAAAAGATATTGGATAATTTATTTTCAGACACATGTTAACGTTGGACCATGATATCAAAGGTGGATGTCAGTGATATGGCAGTAGAGGTTGAACCTTCCCACAAGTCTTCTATTACGATTTGTTGCTGTGTGACAGATGGCGGTCTGACAAAAGTGAGTCACTTTTGTCTCTGGGAGTGCATATGGAGTAAAGATGTGGAGCTTAATTCTTCCACACAGAAAAAATGGCACCCATTGGCATTCGTTCACGCTGGCTAAATGGTGATGGAGACCAAACAGTGGCTATGAGCACCATGAGGTGGTGCATTTCAGCAATGGAGATAACAACAGCGGATCACCTCTGCTGGTGCAGATTTTTACAAGCATAGCATGAAGGCTCTTGCTCATTGCTAGTGAAAATGCATAGCTAATGGTGGCAACTACGTTACTAAACAAGATCTGATGATTTGCTCTATCAAGTAGTGTTATTGTGCTACTTGTATCAGTTGTAATTTCCATGGAAATACATAGGAGGCTTTACTTTCAGAGCAACCTATGTAATTTACTGACATACACATGAGGTTTGAAAGGCTGAGTAACCTGAATCTGTTCAGCCTGGGGAAAAGAAGACTGAGAGAGAATCTGATAAATGTTTGTAAAACATCAAAAGGGAGGTGGGAGGCAAATGAATGAGGCCAGACTCTTCTTGGTGTTGTGCACTGATAGGTCAAGGAGTAATGGCCTAAAACTTGAACATAGAAAGTTCCATATTAACATGCAGAACAATTACTTTATGGTAAGATTCCAGTTTTTGTTTGACTGGGACCTTCCTGAGCTTGCAGCAGAAATTTGGAAAAATCTCAAAGTTGTTCCAGAAAAATCCAAAACTGGGTCCCCTTTCTTTCCATGTCTATTTATGTACTGTCATGTATGCATTTGACTTGCTCTTGTCATGTTCAGTTTGGGAAATGGCATTCCACACCTACCTTTAAGTAAAATGACAGAAGGTGACATGCATATTATCAGCTTAAATGGTTTTACTAAACTTAGTGGTTAAATCATCAGTCAATAGTCATATTGCTGACAAGAACTCAGCAGTAAAATTCAATACGAGGAATGAAGGGGAAAAGATTAGATTTTCCCCTTCTCTGCCTTAGTCTTTAAGGAACGTCAGATTTCATCCTAATGCTATGCAACAGCCCACAATTTAGTACAGTCACTAGGAACTTTGTATTATTCACCTACTTTCTGCTGAGCTCAAATACGAATCTAAGTCAAAGCAATAGTGAATGACAGAGAATGAACCTACAGATTGTATCAAATCTGAAATATAATATATCAAATTGTCTCAGAATTTGAAAGCTAGCTTCTGTCCTTGTCATATCAATATTTTGATCTAAAAGGCTCATGATTGAAACACTGACATTAACTATGTTATTTCCACTGGGAATGAGTCTCAAGCTGGTAGGGTAGTGAAAGCTGGTATATTTCCTTTGGTTTTAATGGAACTATGCCAGCTGGCATCAGCTAAAAATTTCATGCCTTAGATTCCACACTTCACCTGACTTGATTCATAAGCAAAGTAAAATCTCGTGGGAAGAGGCTATGCCTCTCTACTGCACTGTCTCATTACTAACACTTACAGAAGGTTAAATTTTAGAATTCATTACCTGTTTAATACTTCAGAATGAAACAAAGTTAAAAGAGAAACGTAAAAAAATAGAATTGCTTTATTACCTGGTCTGTGTGAGTATTCATCATGCTCAGCAGCTTTGCTTCTCAGTCCAAAAGTATAGAAATAAACAGATGGGAAATAAAATTTTTGCAGCATCTTTAAAATATGTACTATTGTTACATTAAAAAAAAGATGTATTTCTCAAGGTCACTTACATCATAAAATATTAAAGAGGAATGAAGTAATTACATGAAAACACCTGTAACTAATCTCTTAAAGTACAGAAGCCTGAAATATGCAATTCGCTTTTACTTAACTTCAAATTTCTAGGTCCATTTTGAACTAAATACTTTGCTTACACTGTAATAGTTTGCTCTGATTTCTGTTGCTGAGTGAGGTAGAGAAATCTGGGCTGCATATACATTTCCTTTGTTTTTTTCTTTTTTTTCCCCCCAGTTCTGAATATTCCCGAAGAATTCATTTTTATGGAAACCCTTAATATTTGAGACAGATCTTAAATCCACACCTAAGATGAATTTAAATAGCACGGCGCTGAATCATCTAATTTTACTATCTTGTTCCTCTTGACAAAATCTAGACCTCCAAAATTAAATTAATAAAATAAGAGTGTCAAAAATACAAAAATCAAAGACTGCAATTGGAAAGCAACCCCTAAAGACAGTGAACAAGACATTGAAAAAGATATTCCATAGAACGTGGGCCAGAGGGAGGGACAAATTTCAGGCTCTGTTCTGAGTACTTGAAGTAGAATCCATACACAGACTTGGAAGTCACCCTCCTTGTTAAAGCTCACATCCTGCAAAAATTCAGGTCAGGATACAGAGTTATGCTCACATTCCCTCCCACTCTTCTTTTACCTGTATCTTCTCTCCATCCTTTCACCTTCCAGACACACTTAGGAATTCAGTCTACAAAGCAGTAGTCATTTATGTCCACTTCCAAAGTTAATGAGATACAGAGCTGGTATAATCAAATATGCAGGTGACATAGAGCTATTAATGTGGGATTCCCCAGTGTCCAGTCTACAAGCTGTAAAATACCCCTCATTGCACAAAACATGACTCAGCATCTGATCATAGAATAGGCCTTTTCATATAGGAGAACAAAAGCCTCTAAAATGAAAATATGCCAGAGGAAGAAGTCTGCAGTGATTAAGGATACTGCTTATTTCTGCATATCCTACAGCAAAATGGAAATAAGTTCATATAATACATTACAGAAGACTAAAACAGTACAACACAAGGTAAAATTCCTTTCTTGATCCTAAATCTGGCTGCAAATTTAATCCAGGGCAAAAGGATGGTTATACCACCTGGATTCATACACTAAAGAGTTTTACAGTGTGATAGAGATGACGTCTCATACAGTGACATAGAGATGCCATCCCTGGTGTCTGTCCTTGCCTTATCCCCTGTGTAGGTCCACTCTTTCAAAAGAGCAAGGCAAGCCTTTACTGCAGCTTTCATCCCAGCACTTACCCACAAAGCAAATCACATACCAAAGGGGGAGATATTTTTTCTAGCTGCCATAGAAACCTTTAAAGACAACTATAATTGAATGCAACACAGATACGGAACAAGAAAGCAATCGAGAAGCACGATCATATCTCATTTCAATTACCAGTTGGTACTAAAACACTGGATCTGGAGGAAGTTACTTTCTGCCTACTGAGCTACTTGACAAGAAAGGAAAGGAATGAGAAAACATCAATTGCTCAATGTGCCATTACAGTCAAGAACTGACCGTGTATCCATCTAAAATGTCATCTCCCCCAAAATAATGTGTGCAGAGCTCATTGCTACAAGAACGAGCAGTTTAGAAAAGGGAGTTCAAGTCTCTAAGGAAGCCTCAGAGACATGATCAAAGGGATAGAAAAATACACATCAATACTGGAATTATTTTACTTACAAAGGTGATGGGTAAAGAGTGTTCTTTTCATCATGTATACCAGTCACAATAAAAACATATGCACTGGTATCCTGGAAATGCTTGGGAACTTCTGATCTCCATTTTTACCATGAAAGTCAGTTTAAGACCTAGAGGCATAACAAGAAAAAAAAATTGCAAACTATTTTGGATTAATCAGGAAAATACTGGACTAGAAAGACCAATAGTCTAAACCAATTCAGCGTTGCCTAAGACATAAAGGAAATAAGAATTATCCAGAAAATAACAGTGACATTACAGAAGCATTTTTGGTCAGAAATAAATCAGAAAATCATAGAATAATGGAAGGGCTAGTTTGGAAAGGACCTCAAGTTCTAATCCTCCTGCCATAGGCAGAGTGGCCATCTGCTAAATCATGTATTAGTTCAGATTGCCCAGGTCTCCATCCAACCTGGCATTAAACACCTCCAGGGACAGCACATCCACAGCCTCTCTAGGCAACCTCTTCCAGCACCTCACCACTCCCTCAGTAAAAAAAATCTTCCTCTTGACATTTGATCTAAATCTCCCTTTAGTTTAAAACCATTGCCCCTCGTCCTATCACTATTTATCCATGTAAAAAGTTGATTTTTTCCTTTAAATACTGTAAGGCCATAATGAGGCCTTCCCACAGACTTCTCTTTCCCAGGCTAAAGAAGTCCAGTTCCTTCATCCTGTCTTCACAGGAGAGATGCTCCCACCTTGGATCACCTTTATGGCCCACCTCAGGACCCTCTGCAAATGCTCCACATCTTTCCTGTGTTGGGGGCCTCAGACTCGGACACAGTGCTCCTGCTGGGACCTCACAAGGGCAGAGTAAAGGGAGACAATCACCTTTCTTGCCCTGCTGGCCACCTCTCTTTTGATGGAGCCCAGGATACTGTTGCCCTTCCAGTCTGCAAGCACATACTGCTGGCTCATGTTCAGTTTTTCATCAACCAGGACCCATAAGTCCTTCTCAGCAAGGCTACTCTCAATGAGGTCTTCTCCCAGTTTGTATACATATCTGTGATTATCTTGACCCGAGTGAGGACCTTTCACTCTATTTTGCTGAACCTCATTAGGTTCACAAGGGCCCACCTTTTGAGTTTATCAAGGTCCCTCTGTATGGCATCCCTTCCTTGTGATTCATCCACTGTACTGCTCAGCTTGGTGTCATCAGCAAACTTACTGAGGCTGCACTCAATCCCATCAGCTATGTCAATGATAAAAATGTTAAAGAGTACAAGTTCCAAGACATACCTCTGGGGGACACATCTTGTTACCAGGCTCTACCTGGTACTAGAGCCATTGACCACTACCTTTAGGTGCAACCTTCCAACCAATTCCTTGTCCACCAAATAGTTCACCCTTCAAATCTATTTCTCTCCAATTTAGAGATACGGATGTGGTGGAGGACCATGTCAAAGGCCTTGCAGAAGTCCATGGGGATTAAATAAGTTGCATTCCCTTTATCCACCAACGCAATCACTCTGTCGTAAAAGACTACCTGATTGGTCAAACACAACCTTCCCTTGGTGAATCACAAAATCACAGAATGACCTAAGTCGGAAGGGACCTCAAGGATCATTAATCTCCAACCCAGGCAGGGTCACCAATCTCCCCATTTAATACCAGACCAGGCTGCCCAGGGACCAATCCAACCTGGCCTTGATGCCACCTCCAAGGATGGGGCATCCACAGCCTCTCTGGGCAGCTGTTCCAGCACCTCACCACTCTCATAGCAAAGAACTTCTCCCTGGCATCCAACCTAAATCTTGCCTCCCTCAACTTCAAACCATTTCCCCTTGTCCTGCTGTTATCTACCCTTTCAAAGAGTTGATTCCCCTCCTGTTTGTAGGCTCCCTCTAGGTACTGAAAGGTTGCAATGAAGTCACCCTTCAGCCTTTTTTCTTCCAGGCTGAACCCTACTACTTAAAGATCCAAGTAATTTGTGATTTTATGTGATTTTCTTCTCCTTTCAGTTACACCCTTTTTATTTCATTTGCGATCATTTTCTTATCACATGCTTTATCTTCACTTTACCTCTATTTGATACAAACTTTATCCCAAGCCAGCTTGTTGCATGGTTAGGTAAATTATAATGCATGGTGCATACTTGATTGCACTACTCATCTATGCATTGCAGGTATTGTGCATTTCATTGTTTAAATGGCTGTGTAGCTACTGAATGAAAAAGAGGTGTCTATGAATAGGGAAAGAAAACATTTATGGTTTCACTTCTAAAAGTAATATCCTAATAAATATGAGGAATAGAAGAATAACAAGTCATGAATTCCATAGTCATTTGTTAATATAACAGTATGTCTGTGATGAACAAGGCTAAACATACTGTTGAAAACAGTATATTTTCTTTTATATTTTGCAATTACACAATTTTATACGCCGATTCATTTTAATAAAATGTAAATATAAAATCTTATTTTTCTACTTCTTATAACATTTCTAGAGTATTTCTCATATTCCCAACATAAACCTTTATCATTAAACAGTTCTTCATCAATATATCTGATTTCTCTCATGAATTTTATTTCATTTGGATGTGCATATTTTGCATATGTATTTCAAAATTGGTTTTGCTATTAAAAACATAAAACAAGCACAGATGCACCAAACTTCCTAGCATTTTCCAAATCTACTTGCATTATTCTTCAGTAACTTCAAAGCATATAGTAGCATCATTTCCTTCAGCTGACTAGAAATTTCAGAAACCATTCTAAGCCTGTCTACAAGGAACTGCAAAATCAAATGGACTGTGGCACAAGGCACTATGTGGTCAACATATAAATCCCAATTACAGTACATTATTCCTGAATTACAACGTATTTCTTAAATGACAGGAGCAAATGCTCACAGATAGTGAGATGTCATTGCAATCAAAATTTTTCTTACATTTAAATTTAAGCAGATACACCTTTGACTTTATATCACGCTGCATATCTGACTGTTCAGTAACATGGCCTTGAGAGGCTGTGTTTCTTGATGGAACATTATAAATCTTTGATTTTATAAACATAAATACTTAACACTTAATGGCCTCTTTTCAATTTTTCATGGGTTTTGACTTCTTTTGTTTTGTTGTTTTTAATAGCAGCAAAATTGTCTCACAGCCCTGTTAAGTAATTTGAAATAGAGGTATTTTCCTAATTTGTTCTCTCTGGTTTACAAATAAAAAAAAAACTCACAACATTTACAGAGTGCATTGATGTATTATTAAACATTAAAATATTACAAGAGACGTTTTAAAGGGCTTAATTTTGAAAATTTTATGCATAATCTGTGCTACTCTTTAAAAAATTAAATATGGAAAATCACATTCAGATAGGTTTATTGAGTGTTTTTCTGCAACTGCAGTGACATTCTTGCACTGTACTCTCTGAATTTGACTGGAACACCACCATGCATAATCTCTGGATAAGCATGTGATCTTCAAAGTGATCTTCAGAATTAATTTGGTCACACTGACAGATGAGAGTTACAGAGTGGTGAAATGATGAGAGCATCTGCTGTCTCAAAGAAGCTGTAAATGAGTTCATATTGGATTGCCAAAAAAATACACGATCTTATCTTAATCTGTGACAAAATTTTCACTTACAATGAGGAGTCCAAATATTCTTAATTGGACACACATACTGCGTAGAGAGGAATTGTATAATATTTATATAAGCATAGATTACTCTAAATTTAGTTTAAACTCTGTTGAAAATTACTTCAAAGATCTCTTGCTAAAGACCATTACCTTCATTTCCCAAGGCACATTTTCCAGAGGTCACCTTTTTTTTCTGGGTGTGGTTAAATAGTATTTCTGTAAATAACATTTAATATTAATTAAAATATTATAATATTTCTGTTAAGTAGTATTTCTGTTGCTGAGTTGCACCACCCAGTGCAAGGCCCCAACACCACATTCAAAGAGGACAGTTTTCTACTGATGAAGTGGTCAAGGGTTCCTCAACATCTGCAGAGTGAAAGGAGCGTTTCTGCCACCCGTTAAGGCTCTAAGGACTTTTGGATTTTGCAAAAGCTTCTGATCACCACTGCCACATAGACAGAGGAGGGCTATAGTACTGACAGAGAAATAAGTAGTACAGGAGAGAAAAACGAGGCTTTCAGCCTACCAAACATGATGTCCAAGGTTGGATATGATTGCCCTCTACAGACATATCAAGGAGTAAAGCAGCAAAAACAGAGATGCTATTTCATACTAAGGGCAACGTGGCACAAGAACAAATGAGTATAAATTGGGCATGAAGAATTGAAATTTTTCTGGAAATTCAAAGCAAGTATCTTGTTACAGTTCACCACTCTGAAATACTGGGAAGCCCAAATGTCAAACTGCTTTTAAGGTAGCCCTATTGATAGGGTAGGTAAAGCTAAATTGATAAAAGACATTACATGGTGCAATTTCTAGCAATAATAAAAATCTGCACCTAACTAACCAAGGTGTAGGTAGAATTATCTGATATTTCCTTGTTTGCCTCACAAACCAGATTTTTAAAGTCGACAGTTCAGGCGTCTTTAAGATCATCCAGTTCTCACACCTGTGTGCAAGTCATTTCTCAGTATTCCTATTCCCATGTGCAGCATCTCCACCTTATCTAGCTGCACAAGAGGGATTCATATTAGAATTCGGCTTTTCGTAACTGCCAAGTAATAAAAGAAATTACCTGTACATTATACATTTCTCTATGATTAGAAAAGCCTATGAGGGTTAAAAGAATTCTGAAAAAGTAGCACTAGTTCACAAGTAGGTGATTTTTATTTTCCTCACTGAGATTTTCTTGTGAGAATAAAATGCAGGCTTTCACTGAATTACAGTGCAGATTTGTAGTCTTCAGGAATTAGATTTAAAGTAGTGTTTGTTATAGAAAGTTTGTTTGATTTTTGTTTTTGTAAGTGTATCACTCCAAGCCTAATGTTATCTATGACAGAATTTTCCTTTCTTCAACTTTTAATGTATTTAATGTGTTTTTTGCCTGAATAAACTTTTCAAATGAGTATGCAGCAATTGAATTTTGTCTTATTTTTTTATGCTTACTACACAATAATAGTACAAGTAATACACTCTAGTATATATATTTTTTTTATATGAATGTTTAATCTCTTTCTGAAAACTGCTTTGATTCATTAGGAATTAAGTAAATAAATTACACAGAAATGCAGGAGTTCTAGAGACAGTACTCTAAAAATGAAAAGAATTTTCTTGGAATGATTCAGGGTTTCTTTTACATTGAGTATGCTATAACAAAATACAATTAACTACAATAGTTCAAGCAACTTTCTGTGAAATGTACTGTTTTTCTCAAACTCCCTAGGACATTTCTGCAAAGGTCACCGTGAAGCAGAATGTTAAAATAATTATTGTTCAATGACTGCAGTTTGGTTCCATTGCAATTTGACTGCACTTTCTAATAAACCTCCACTTCATCATAACGCTAAGTTTATTCGCCATTTTAGATGCATGACATATTTTGATTGTGGTGTATTGCCAATATTTAAAGGACTGCATAGATTTGATCATCAGTCATTTCCTATTTTGGTCAGCTGACCGTACCAAAAAAAAGTAAAAAATGGAGGCAGCTTGTTTGGGGAATCAATAAGCAGAGAAAACTAGTTAACTGGAAAAGAATTTGTAGTAACATGCACAATTTAGAAGAGAAATATGGTTGAAGTTGGTGATGAAATAAAAGCACAGACGTCTATCAGGCCTTGCCAGAGGTAATTAGTTTATTGATTGAGCTAATCACACCCAAAGGAAAATGAACTAAATAGGTCATTAAACTATACTGGACACAGAATACTGCACTGTGCTTAATGGCTCAGTACTGCCTTACTGGTGTTCAGCCAGGAGTAAAACTTTGCTTTTAACACCTATAAAACTGCCAGATTAAAAATCATAGAGTACACTCAGAATGATCGGAAGAGATGAAAACAAACAAATGTATGACTAAACAGGGAAAGTAATTTCTTCTACAGGGAAAGTAACGGAAATTTTTGTTCAATAGCAGATGAGTTTGCAGATGGACAGATCCAAAGAAATAACATCACTGACATAAGTTATGCAAACTTAGAGACAATCATACAGGTTTATAGTAGTAGAGGTTTCCAAAATTTTCTTATTATATGGCAAAAAAGCTTATGGAAAATAAAAAGTAAAATCTGTGGACCAAACCTAGAAAGAGAAGTTCGTATAACATATTAAAAGCTTTAAAAACTGAGACTCATTATATTTGTTACACAGTTTGAATAACCTTTTTGAAATTCATAATGTAGCTCTGAAATTAGCA